ACTACAGCCTTGGCGTGATGAGTCAGCGATCACGGGTTCCCACAGTGGCGCTTACGCCCACTACAGTTCGACCGTCGGTTTCGATGAGGTTCCCGTGTAGCACAAAGCATGTTGGCGCAGGGATGGTAAGTAACCCGTGAGGTATATTATGGTGGTAGTAGACTTTCACTGCACCTACCGCACACTCTTCTCCACCACCGCCTGCGCTCAGTGTTGTGACCAAGTCAAGAAGACCGGAGGCGGGAGAGAGCGCAGGTGATTGGTGCGATTAGAGTCGCCCCTAAGCGTGTCGCTGCACATTTCTCGGCTCCCCCCACGGAGTGAGAGTTCCATAAAGACCACATTACTGAGTTATTGCAGCCTGACCCTCAATCCAGGAACCGGCCGCCCCACATAAACACACATTGGGCTGACTGCGCGGACTGATTTATTCCTTCACTTGCTGATCTTCAAGGCCACTGTTATTAGCCCACCGTGGTCGTTTCAAGGTCGGAGCACACAAGCAGCACACACACACACACATCAATGCATTCCTCACTTCAATATATATGACGCACTAAGGGTCGTGACTTGACAGGTTGCCACCTGAAGTGGTACCTCGATCCTCGTGATCATTCCTGCCTATGTGAGGTGACTGGCTAGTAACCTAGAGTCAGGCTCAATGGCCCCTGACCTCTAGCTGCCAATCTTACACACGTGAGATCCGTAGCGCTCCTTTTCGTGAAATCCTGGTGCATTGTGCGAGGACCGTGCCATGCGTGACCCGTGTATACGGACTGCTTAGCTTCGTTAGTGTTATGAACCGCGCCTAGTACTTTTACTTAACACGAACTGTGTGCTTGCCCGACTGTTGTTCCCAAAGCCAGCAAGAGCGAGGAAGAGAAGGCAAACGACTACGCGGAGAGCTGTCTTCACAAGTAGCAAGTCGTTCTCACAAAGAGGCTGTGTATAATTATTGATCCGCTTGATGAGAAAATGTTCATGACATGGACCAATCAGATCTAATGAGAGATCGATAACCACGGTGCGCGTTATCATACGCACAAATTGGAGAACTCTTTAACTTGCTCCATAATCCTATTAAAACAGCTACCGCTACTGTCTCCCGGGCATCACTGGACGCAGTCAATACTAGGCCTGGCTTCGCCAGTGGCTCCTGCCACTGAGACAGCAACTTGGAGTTTTGTGCACAGTAAATCCCACCTACAGATGCCTTCAGACTTTTACTTACAAAGAGGCTTTGGACTGATAATTATAGTCCTCCGAGTCCACCCACTGCTTAGACACTACAAGACTGTTATCAAAATCAACTAAGTTAGCCCTACGTTAACAACAAATTTATCACCAACTGTTACACTAATAAGTGGTTTCTGCGTCGGTCATCCTTGGTATACGTAACCATCTTTTGGTCTCAGTATAATGAGACCATTTAAACTCATTCTATACCCGCATGACTAAATCAAATAGGTCTTCGATGGTATATGGATTGATCAATCAAGATCATTGGAGTGGGCACCGATATCAACCGATCAGACCCCACTATTCGTTTATCTGGACTTCAGGGTTTACAAAAGACAGATCCACAACCGTAGAACGGCCAAAGCAGGCGATCGTCGGATGCTGTATAATTACTAAACAG